TGGGGTGCGTTAAGCTGCCCACGGAGCTGGCAGCAGAGCTGCACGCGGGGGCTGCCTGTTCTTGGGCTCTCCTGCCCCGTAAACTGTAACCCACCTGCACTCCCAGTGCCCCTTAGACTTTGTCCCGTGAGAAACGTGGCTGTTGCAGACGTGTCCTGCCCCGAAGATGGGTGGAAAAGCCAAAATACTAAAGTTTTGCGCTGAACGTGCCCGTAAATCTCATCCCAAACCTTTCCTTTCCATCTGCTCGGTTTCACTGTTTCCAGGCTGGGGATGGTTTAAATGTTCCCCCACCTTCAAGCGGATCTCAGCTCCAAAGAAGCCTGACCTGCTCCCGCTTGGCCGAGGGTTTTGTCCCAGTCTTGGAGCACCTCGGGGGTGTGCTGTGGGCTGGGGCTGCTCCAGCAAACCCGGGTGCTTGTTCTGTGGAGGATGGCACCGTGGCACATCCCTCTACCCAGCACCTGACTTGATTTCCCTTCCATTTTCCTGATATTTCAGCAATTTTGGTGGCAGAATTTTTATTTTAGGGACTGCGCTTGGTGCTGGGGGCTGGAGGATGAGTGGGAGATGGGCAGCGTGTGCTTTTTCCTGGGGATCTCCCTTCGCTTGCACCCCGATGTGTGCAGGAACCCCCTCTCCAAGGGGGCTGTGTCCCTTTTGGTCCCCTCCCTTGGGGACAGGGCTGAGCTGGCTGCAACCATTCCCCCTGGCCTCGCCAGGGCTGTGGGCAACCATGGGGCAACCTGGGACATCCGCACAACCTCTGTCCTTGCTCCAAACTTCGGTGGGATGATCTGCCTGTGCCCTCTCATCCCCTTCCTCGCTTCCCTTGACAGCCCGGCCCAGAAACTCGTCTTCAACAGAGTGAACGGCAAGAGGCCGCAGGTGTCACTGCAGCAGGTCTCGGCCCCCGAGGAGTGTTACACGCTGGCCCACGAGGAGAACGTCCGCTTCATCTACGAAGGTGAGGGCAGAGGGTCCTTGGGGATGGGCACCCATCACGTCCTGGGAGAGGCTGGAGGACACAGGGTCCCTCCATGAGGCAGCTGCCCGGGTGACGGGACCCCATCCCTGCCACCGAGGTCCCCAGGGACTTGGAAATCCCCATCCCAAAACCATCCACTGCCTGTTTTTCACCCCCTTGCCACCTCCTCCAGCCTGGCAGCAGGTAGAGCAGCAGCTGGACGGCAGCCGGAGCGGGGAGAGCGCCTGCGGCCCCGTGCAGTACGTTGAGAAAAACCCCAACCCCAGATTGGAAAGTGAGTGGGAAGCAGTCGCGGCGCTCTGATGGGTTCATGGGTGCAATGAGCTGCTGTGGGCTCAGCCAGGCACCTGAGCAGGGCTGTGATGGGAGGAAGAGGAGGATCTCAGTGCAGGACGCACTGGTGAGGCTGGGTTGGGTCTGTCCTAGGGGGCAGCTGGTGGTGGGAATGTCCCACCGTGCCCCATCGGAGAAGCCCAAGCAAGCAGGACACCTGGTTGATGGCTGTTCTCCAGCCACCAAGGTGGGTTCAACACCACGCTGGAGATGAGCCCCTGAGTCCCACCATGGAGACTTGCCTCTCCTGGGACCAAGCTGGAGCACAGTGGGCACGGGGACAACGTCCTTCTCTGCTGGCAGCTGGAGTAGGGGCTGTGAACGCAGCCTGGGGGCTCCTGCAGCAGCTGAGAAGTCCTCCAAGAAGAGAAAGTCCCTGTAAAACCCATCCTGGCCTTTTGGGGACAGGGCACAGGGGCGGGGGAAATTTTGGGGGTGTCATTTATTTATTTATTTATTTATTTTGTTTTCCCAGCAGTGAATGATGCAGCTCAGGGGGGAGCACCTCGAGCTCTGCTCCAGCTGCTCTGCTACGTTGTCCTCTCTGCCTCCCCTCTCTTTCAGACTTCGTTCCCATCGACCTGGAGGATTGGTGGGGAAAGCAATTTCTGGCCAGCTCCTTATAAAAGGGAAGAAAGGTTTGGGTATGTTTTTTTTTTTTTCTTTTTTTAAGAGAAACATAGCTGAGAACATCTGGTTTTTAAAAGATGACCGAAACCAAGTGACCCGTGCTGCCAACCCAGCGTGGCCAGCGGGACCGGACCACAGCCATGCCCGGCCGGGTGCCCCCTCCCTGCGTGGAGGAGCAGTGTGCGGCCCCAGCCAGGATTCCTTAAGTGCCAGTTCTTGGACCGCTGCAGCTCCTGCAGCCTCCAGCTCCCATGGACGCTGCGGTGCCATGGGGAGCACATCGGTGCCATCGCGAGCACTGCGGCCCTCGCCACGGGGAGCACAGTGGGGTGCTGTAGCAGGACCGTCGGACAATAAAGCGCTGAAACTGCCAGTGGAGAAGCGCTCGCGGGCTGGGAAGGATGTGTCTGCAGGTCTTGGACCGCTGCAGCTCCTGCAGCCTCCAGCTCCCATGGACGCTGCGGTGCCATGGGGAGCACATCGGTGCCATCGCGAGCACTGCGGCCCTCGCCACGGGGAGCACAGTGGGGTGCTGTAGCAGGACCGTCGGACAATAAAGCGCTGAAACTGCCAGTGGAGAAGCGCTCGCAGGCTGGGAAGGATGTGTCTGCAGGAGGTGGTGATGGGATTGGGGTGCAGCATCACGCTGGCGCGGAGTGGGGGCACCCCTGTGTGCAGGGGATGCTCGTTGCCAGGTCCTGGCTGAGTGGGAACTGTGCTGCTCTGGAGGGAAAGGGCCTGGAGCATCTCCCCACATTCCTTGGAGCTGTGTCCTTGTCCCAGCGCAGCCTCATCTCCCGGGGCTCAGCCAGGGGCTGGTGCTGCTGTGGGTGTACCTTTGGGATTTGGAGAGGGCAGATGGATGGGCATCTGCAGGTGACATGGGCAGGGGGCTGTGGTTCAGAGCCAGCCTGCGGTATGGTATGGAGGTGGGTAAAGCGGCAGGAACGCTGCCATGGAGGCCCTTGACATGGTTCTGCTAAAAGCTGTGCTGAGCCCCAACCCCTTGCCGGGGGCTGTTGGGGTGCAGGGGGGGCTAAGAGAGGGTGGTTGTGGCTGCCTGTGGTGGAGGGCATGGGGACCCCCCCACTTCTGCTCCCAGAGGCGCCTGGAACACCCAAATCCCTCTGTCCATGGGTTTTTCCAGGCTGGACCGAGCCCTTCCAGGTCACGTTTTGGAGGACCCCCTTGTCCCTGTCCATCCTCCCCCAAGGCAGAGAGCAGGAGGCCAGCACTGCACAGCAGGACTCCAAAGGAGGCCAGGAAACACCCACTGGAGGAAAAAAAAAGAGCACCTTTATTATTCCTGTGATGGGAATAACAACTG